GAATGCTAGAAAGATTATTCAATAGGCTTAGGGGTGATAAATCAAGGCCAAAGTAAGCCAAGGTAGACATTTGAATTAGAGAAGTAGGCCTAAAGCCAAGGCTTTCTCCAAGCTTCAGTGATTGGGTCAAGAACAAAGCAAAGGTAAAGAGGTCAAACTGAGGAAGACTACTGGCACCTCCAGACCCGCAAGGCCGAAGGATGGAACTACGCCTAAAATTGAGGATCAAGAAAAGCACCGCCCTAAGCTCCGCCTGAGCTCCACCTGTACTCCACCTAGTATTAATATGTACAGATAGATGATACAATCATATGCTTATGTAAAGAATCATGTAGGAAAACTGTATAAACCCCTGATTTTTGTGTGCTACCTTGAGCAAGTTCTTTGTGATGCGGACCCTGCTTGCTCCCGATGTCGACGAATAAAAACCTTTGCTGCTCAAAAGACTCAAAGTTTCTGGGCAGTTCTTTTACCAGATTTTTCAGATTCACCCCATCCACCTCATAATGGTGCAGGCCTCATATAGCCCATACACCTCATAAAAGAGCTGTCATCATAAAAGCTCTGTCTTCATAACACCCTTACATGTCCTACTGGTGCTCTCCTCATAAAGCCCATAAACCTCACAAGAGGCTCCCTCCATAAAGACCATGTCATCAAAACCCCATCCACCTCATAATGGGGCAGGCCTCATAAAGGAACTGTCCTCAGAAACCTCACACACCTCACAGTGGTGCAGGCTTCATAAATCCCCTGTCCTCATAAGACCCATAAACCTGATCATGGGGATGTCATCGTAAAGGAGATGTCCTCATAAATGCCATAAACCTCATAAAGGCTCTGTGCTCATAGACACCATAAATGTCATAAAAGCACTGACCTCATACACCCCACACACCTCATAATGCTTCAGCCCTCATGAGGGCACGGGACTCCTAAAGCCCATACACTTCATAATGGGGGTCTCATCATAAAGGCCATTTCCTCATATACCCCACACACATTCTGGGAGAGTTGCACCCGGTGAGGGGAGTTGAGCTGCATGAACGGGTACGGCGAGAGCGAAGGGGAGTCCGTTGCATTTGAAGTGTACTTGAGGGCAAAGTCTTTGATCTGTTCTTTGTAGACATTGTTGTAGAACTGGATGAGGTCCCTCCGCTGCTCCTCCTCGGTGTCACTGTTGGCGAAAGTGAGGCAGGTGGGCGTGGGGGGGGCGCTGCCGGGGGTGCAGCACGGGCAGGGTGCTGCTGGAGCACATCACCGGGCTGGAGTCCCGGCTGCTTCTTTCCTTGTTCTTCTCCTTGCTCCTGCCTGTGGGTGAGTTCTGCTGGCTGCTGCTGTTGCTGCTGCCGGAGCGGCAGCGGCGCCTGCCTTTTATCAGGACACTGCGATAGACATGGCTCTGGGCTTGTGGCTGTGTCCGATAGCAGCGCATGATGTTTTGAAATGATCTGTCTTCATTAGTGACCTTAGTCATGACATAGATGGCACACATCAGCAGCTGATCCAAGCATCTGTCCATCGTGATTTCAGGGCAGTGCACCAAGGAATACTCAAAGCATGTCCAGATCTTTTTCCGCAGCTCATTAGACACATCGAGTTTGACACAGAGATTCCTCAGACGAACACTGGCTAAATGATACACCTTTCTGAAGAAGAGTAACAGTGAGTCCGTCTTCCGAGGCCTGACGGACGTGGCAGTGAACTGCTGGGCCTGTCTCTGCTCTCCAGGGGAGATCTGCTGAACAGTCAGCTGGCCTGGCATTTGGGTGTTCAGGGTACCCCCGAGAGCCTGGGTATTCAGAGGCTGAATGGGGCCAGAGACAGCTTGGGGCTGGGCACCTACATTTACTTGGACTGGGAAGAAAGTTATTCCTCCATTTTCATTGGCAATACTTTGTACTGGGATTGTCACGGTCTGCTCGTTGTTGGCTGTCACGGTGGCAGTTGCCACGGTGACCAGGGTCTGGCTAGGCACTGGAGTCACTGACATGGCTTCAGGATTCATGTTCTGCACTGGCACCGTGTTTACCATGGGCTGTTGGGGAACTCTCACAGGGGTCCCACTGTCAGAGGGGTTCTCATTATCAGCAAACAGGCGGCATCTTGTAGGATTGGCTGTGGGAGAACTGTATCTGTCATACAGGGTGGCTGGAGGTGAGGAGAGGCCTCTTCCTAGTCCTCCGCTTTCAGAAAGAATCTCATCTATTCGTCTTGGTGTCAATGGGGAACCCACAACAGTGTTCCCAGCAGATCTCTCAAAGTGCTGAGGTGGCATTACCTCTTCACAACTAGGAACCTTGTTTTCATGGTCTCTGATGCTGTCCCACAATATGGATTCCCGTTTCCATGCCATGCTCTCAAGGATCTGTTCTTCAATGTGATTCAGGTGTTTTACTACTTCCCGACAAAGGCCATCCTCTGCTCTAATGAAAACCTCAATTACCTTATAAAAATGATAAACTGGAATGTCAAATATTTTGGTGATGAACAGGAAGTTTCTAGGTGGGTTATATGTAAAGGTAATGATCTCAAGGCAACAGGCCAGCAGAGACATGTGAAACACATCTTGCTCCAGTATTGTAGATAAGTCAGTGTCTCCTAGTCGAGTCCTCTCCTCCTCAATGACCGACTGCAGGATCTTGTAGTAGAGCATCTCAGCAAGACGAAAATGTTTACTGGCAACATTTTTGGAAAAACTGCTGAATTCTCCTTCAGACTGTGTGCTCTGGCAGTACACATCATGCATTTCTTTTATTCTACTTGCAATAGATTGAGAAGGATCTCTGGAGCATGACCTGAACATAAAAAATAAACATTTTCAATATACTATTCCTTCCAAGACCAAAAACCCTTCTGTGATAGTTTGGACTTTGGCTCCCTGCCAAATGCCCGAACCTTCAGTAGCAGCCCTCCCTTTCCCCTTCCCTCTTTCCTTAGGGCAAAGAAGAAAAAAAACTACAAAAAAATTAAAGAACCCAAAGTCAAGCTGCTTATATAAAATATATATATATATTTATGTAAAATCACAGTTATATACAGTTAAGATGCTATATACACAGTAAAAGGTAATCAACCCCTCCTCGAAGGGATAGGGAAAGGGGAAAAAAGGACAAGAGGGAACAAAAAGGGACACCGAATAGATATGCACAATCAAACCCGAGAACTAGTAAAATAACTAGTAAAACAAATCTCACCACGTCCCTTAAAACAGCAGGATTGGCAGACACAGCCAGCACTCTCCGAACCCCCACGTGGCAGACCAGCGGTCTCTGCAGGCCTCAGCCTTAGATAAGCGAGACCAACGCAGGGACTCACTGTTCCCGAACCCTTCCGGAAGAGAAAAGAGCAAGGTCTCTGATCTCCAACTTATTTATACTCTGGTTTACGTAAAAATCGTATGGAATACTGGGTACTGCAGAGCCTGAGGCCTGCAGTGACCGCTGGTCTGTCACGCGGGAGGTTGGAGAGTGCTGGCTGTGTCTGGTGATCTTGATTTTCTGAGGGACGTGGTGAGATTTCGTTTTGCTAGTTCTTTATTTTGCTAGTTCTTGGGTTTGATTGTGCATATCTATTCTGGTTTTGTCCCTTTTTGTCCCTTTTTCCTACTTCCCTCTCCCTTTGGGGGAAAAGATGCTTCCAAGGAATTCACATCCTGAACACGACCTCAGGATTTTGTCTTCTCTTTTGATTTACTTTTGCTATTTAAAGGCAAGAACCCTTTTCCTTGATGGCTGTTTGAGGGACAAATCCCAGCACAGAGTCCAACGTGCACTTGCTGTCTTTGTCAGCCGGTTGGTCATTCCCAATGTCTTGGAAAGAAAACCCTGCCAGTGGCTGGGAATGCTGTCCCCACTGGAACAGTCATTGCTCTCAGGACTGTCTCTTCCCGGAGGTTTTCCTATGAGCAGGGAAAAATGGTAACAATTAAAACACAGAACTCTAAAGGGGGAGATGAGGCAAAGAGAAACCCCCTTATCTCACCTATAATCCAAGATGTCTAAACCGGTGAACTTTGGATGTTTTCAGCTCGAGCTCCTTCTGGAGTTCACACCATAGACAAGGAAACATCCCTCCTTTTCCAAGGGCACCCATTCAACCAGCTGATCACCTGATTTCGGAATAAAACTCTTAAGGAATCGATCCTCTTTTGGTACTGAAACACAATGATTACCCAGATGGCAACATTTGCACCTACTACTTACATTTCTCTCCCATGAAAGCAACAGCCAACGTTGCTGAGCGCAATGGAACAATCCTGTAGGACACAACAACTCTGCTGAGGTTTGGCCTGGGAAGGACATCAAGGAAGGGCGGTTTTTTGCAGTTCTCATGAAAAATATACTCTACACTTGAGAAGAGGAAATAATCATGAGTCATAATGCTTCTCCAAGAGCCAAAGTCAACAAAAAAGCTTCTGTAGAAAACCATTAAGGTTCCTAATTGTAGAAACATTTGCAAATCTAATGACTGATACATTTCAAAAGCAAAATCCTTAACTCAGTACATCAGGGCTGGTGAATATGGACACTGTTCGTTTTAGAGGCAGTGAAGGGAACACCCACTGCACCTGTGGGAACCTCTAAAGATGCCCAGTCAATACACTTAGAGACCAAACTGGGTCAAAGAGATCAAGGGAAGAAACACTGGATACAATTTGGAAAATCCAGAAAGGTTATAATGGAAGAACAATTTAAAGTCGTCTAAAATAGGAAGATATGAAGTCCTCCTGATTTCATGCACTTGTTCCACAACTTGCCCTGCCATTTCCCCCACGACATCAATGCCATCATGTCCTTGCTGCAGGTCCAGGTCAGGCAGGATCGTGGCCAGAGGTTGTGCAACGTTCACGTGCAGAGAGCCCAGTTTCAGGCTGGGGAGAAAGAATTCCATGGGATTAGATGGAGAAGGACTTCTGTGTTCCAGTACAGAGTTCTTCATCTGACAAAGCTGGACTGATACTCCAGATGGGAAAGGCTGTGGGAGGGGGGAATTGTCATGGTTTTGCCCACCAGCCCATCCCTGGGGTTGAGGATGGTTTTGTCCAGGTGATTTCCAGACAAAAAGGCCAATCAAAAGTCCAGTGACTACTTTGCTAATTACATCTTTAAGAAAACGGAAGAGAAGGTTGTTGTGCAGTTGAAATTAGGGGTAGCAGCCATGTAGGGGAGAGAAGCGGCAGGCCCGAAGAGGGCCAAGGCCCTCTCCTCCCCCAGCTTGGGCCAGGGCGGGCAGGTGTAGCACTGAAGCCTTCCCTTTCTCTCTGGTAAGACAGTGAAGATAAAAAGTTTAAAAGACTGACTACTTGGACAAGAAACTGCTGCAGAAGAATTCCAGCCGAGAGATAAGGGACTTCCAAGGTCGAAACTGGCAGCCAAAGGAGAGAGAAGGAAAATTCAAAGGTGGGGGAGAATTGTTTCTTCCCTTTTTGCTCTCTCTCTCCTCAGCAGGGAAAAGACTGAAAAGTAATCCCTGCTACTTGTAAAAGTTTGTTGGGGTGAAGAGACCCCCCATGCAGCTCACAGAGGAGCTTGTTAATGTACCAGAGAACCGAGACTTCATGAGAAGGACTGAGGTGAGGCAGAGTCTTGTTGAAGACTTTGTGACCCTTGAAGGGAATAATGCTTATGCTGGAGCAAGGACGGCTCGGATAAGCTTAAGATCTCAGTGAGAGATTCATGCTACTAGTACTAGAGATTTGTGACCCTAAGTAAATCTCACGCTGGAGCGAGACGGCCCATGTGAGATGCTGGGATCCGTGTGTGTGTGGGATCCGTACTAGACCCATGCCGAAAAGTCTATCAAGGACTGTTTCTCCCATGGGGAGGGACCTCCATAGGGAAACAGGGGTGAACTCTTAAGCCATTATCTCCTGTAACCCTGTGGTGAAGATCCCTAGGAAGCAAGTGTCCCCTTGCAAGCCTATGGAAGGAAGACCTTTTAGGACCTGGGTAACCCCCAGTCTTCGGTCTTAGCCCAGGAGGGGGGTAAGCCCAGCCCTAGAAGCCGACACAGAGCGAAAGAGAGAGAGAAAAAGTTCCAGCTGCAACAAGAATGCTGCTGCTACTGAAGATTTGTTACTGGAGAGAGAGAGAGAGAGCTGGAACTCCAAAAATGGAGAATAAAACTACTTCTCCTCCTTGGACTGGTATAAAGGGGGGAGGAGTATTTCTGTAAATATATAGTACTTTACTTGAGTAGAAATTGTTATAGATATAGTTCTTTAATTTTTAACTTGTTAGTAGTTTTTATTTTACTAGTAATAAATATTCATACTATTTTCCCCTAATTGTGTCTCTTTTGTCTGCATAAACCTTCTCTCAACTAATAATAATTGTGTGTGGGGTGGAAAGCAAATTGACCCAAAGCAAAACCACGACACTCCCAGAAACCAACACAACACTGATGGCAGTTCAAACTGCATCATCATTATCTCAAATCCTACCCGTTTTACAAAGCTGAGCTTCTCGAGTTTTCTCTTTCAAGAGGAACATTTCCTTGGTTTCAAACCAATCCATAGTGCTCACCTGAATTCAGATCAGAAATATTTCTGAGTGCTTTTATGTCAATGAGCAAATAAGCACTGGCACAATCCTTGATCCCACACCACCTTTGGACTTCTCAAACCCATGTTAAGCCTCAGGGGAGATCATACATTTAAAGGCCAAACTATCACCACCTATGGAACAAAGGGAGAGAAAAAGAAGAGAGGAGAAGGCAAGGAAGAAGAGATTTGCCGAAGGCTTGAAAATAAAAAGAGGAAAGAAGAGCTCTAGAGCAGAGAAGGTGCTTTGCCTCCTCTTTTGCTTTCTTTGCTGGATGTCCTTGCTTTGTCCTCTTCCTGATACAATTCCTTTCAAATGAGCCATCCCTTCTCTGGAACGTTTCGTTGCACCCTCATGTCCTTGATCATCTCCAGGAACCAGTTTCCACAATGCTGTCATATCCCAGCCAACTGGTGGGGGAAGTTACTTCCAAGTCCTGCATAGACTTTTGGCCCATTTCACAGGCACTGCTGACAGACCCTGGAACTTCACTGCAGTAACTGACAGGATGGTTTGAGGAAACCCATTCATAAAAGTTAGGTTTTAGTATATCTCAAAGTCTTGCTTAGAGACCTCAGGAGGAGGGTATAGGGCCCTGTCTCTGTATCCAGTCCCCAGGGGAACAACTCCCTTTGGGACCCCTTTGGGACAACCCCCTTAGTGCCCACCAGGACAACAACCCCCTTTATGCCCCCCCCCAGAAACAACCCTCTTTGTCCTTTGTACCCCCCTGGAACAACACCCCCCTTAGTGTCCCCTCGGGGCAACAATCCCCTTTGTGCCCCCCCAGGGTAACAATCCACTTTGTGTCCTCTCGGGTAACAGCTCCATTTGTGACCCCTCAGGACAATAACCCCCCTTCTGCCCCCTCAGGACAATAACCCCCTTTCTGCCCCCCATGGAAACAACCCCCTTT